AGTCTCAGGTTGTTGATTGTTACAATGTGATGTGACAAAAACAGATTGTTACAATGTGATTTAGAAAACTTATTTTCCGCACTGTTTTCCAAAATAACCCAAATCGGCCCCCAAAATCATTCAAGACCAAAAAAATCCAGAAAATATCGGATCTATAAACCCTGGTATTATAAAAAAAGGCCGCTTTATGGAAGATGAAAATATTGAATTGGCAATGTTAGAGTGTGTTTACGGTTACGAAATACCGATGATATATTTAGGATAAGTAGATCGAAGATCCGGATTGCGGAGCCCAAATAAATTTTGTATGGTTTGAGAGTTATAACATAGATGCTTTTTCAGAATACACTTTAATTCTTAGACTTACTTAGCAAATTTATTTTTACATAATATCAAAAAAATATTTTTAACAAAATCACATGGATTGCACCATTGCAGTAATTCAGCATGCACTTAAGCAGCGATATTTGCTGCTAAAATTGCTAAAATTACCGGTAATAGATTATTTATTGCACAATTACAAACGGCTATGCACAAGCAATAAATTTCATAAAGAATAATTAATTTTATCTGTTGCGTTGATTTTAGCAGATCACTCTACATCTTCACAATTGAGCGCCATCCCAAAGACTTCAACAGTAGAAAACCAATTTAGATAACAAGAAATAAGTCGCTTGAAATTAGAGAGCTAAAAATCTGCAATCAAAATAATTAGGCAGAAAACCATTCCGTATGATTTTACGATTTTCAAAAACGGTTTAATACTCTCAGAATACCAAACTGGATTTTAAAATAAAATGTCCGCTCTTTCTTTGGGCTTTATAGGCATAAAAGTGAAGCCTGAAATTGCCTCAAATTAGCAACGTTTATTTTCAAACAGCCATTTCAAAATCACTCGTTAACATTTGTGATTCTTTTTTAGTACATTTCTTATGTAGACTCACTATATTTGCTATTTGCGATTTACGCATCAAAAGTGCTTTTTGCCAGGGGTAAAAAATTGAAAAACTTTGTCATTAAAAAAACATTCGCAATCAGTCAGTTTTAAAAAGCAAACTTCCCACATATAAACAAACACCTGATAAAGCATAAAGAAAATTATTATGAAAAATTTAATTGTTGCCCAATTGAATAACACCTTATTTCCCCATTCATGTGCTGGTGATGCTGCACATTCCACTATTTATCAAAACAATAGAAATACTTTAACTATATGTATTATCTGAAAATACGTTCCTGATAAGTAGGTACTTTATGTATAGGTATTTCAGGCTGTTGCTACTGCTCTCAGTGCGGTCGTGTTAATGGGTTGGCTACCAAATTTATAAACATTTTATCGTAGAGTCTCCTGCTAAAATGAGTTCAATTCCGGAAATCGAAACTGTAATTCAAGGCATAGATGGTACGATTAAAAATGTGCAAGTCAGCCGATTAACCAAACCAGGCGAAAACTACCTCAGTTTGGTGTATCGGGTGGATGTGGAGGTGGAGAAGAATGGAAAAACTTCAACCATTAACGCAGTGGCCAAATGTCTTCCATTGACGAAAACCGCGTTGGATTTCAATGCATTCTCCATGCGAAACGAAATTAAATGGTACTCAGAAATTTTGCCGTTGATCAAAAACTTTGGTTCGGAATATGGTCTAGAGACTGATTTTTATCCCGAATACTTGGGCTCACGGTATAGCTTGGATCCCACTAAGACTGAAATTGATAAGGACTCTGCTTTGTTGATGAGGAATTTGATTCCTGATGGTCAGTATTAATTCATATTATTTACATTTTTTAAGTGCAGAAATGTAGATGCTTGTTTCGCGCTTGGAGGAGAGTTTTAGAATCAAAAACCCTTACAATGGGCAAGTACAAGTAGTAGAGTTTACAGCAGAATAGAAATTGTTGGTCACAGACGAGATCTTCTCAACATAAGCCATAATTTTCGTTTATTTTCAGTCCGGAAGGTCTATGGTGTTTTTTTTATGCATTTGTTGGTATCAAGATGGTATAAAATTTTAACACATTTTGGGCGATCTTAGATTTTTCGAGGAAATAGTTTTTCTCGAAAAAACACTCAATTTTTTCGGAGAAAATCAACTTTTCACATTTGTGCCTTTTGTGCTCAATGTATTGTTTTCGACCTGAGAAGGTCCAGAATATGCATATACACGGTGTTTGAGTCTTTAATAGAGAAGATATCGGGGACGAATAATAGAACCGGTCAACATTTTCCAAAAATTTCCATCCTTTGGATTTTTTTGGTCCTCCTGAATGAATCTCAATTAAAAACAGTTGAAAAAAGCGGACCTGTTTAAGGTTGGTATGCAGAATTAGGAAGAAAAAACTTGATGAGTTTGATAAAAAGGTAGTATTGAAAATCTACCCGCTCTATTACGTACTCGTTTTCCCTCCTTTTGACTTCAGCGGATCATCCCTTAAACTATACAAACAGAAAATTTTTAATAGAGTGCAGCATTTCTACGTGACATAACTTATTAATTACTAAACTTGGAGATTTTATTTTCCTTCTAAAAATCCCATGCACTTTCAGGCTACAACAATGACGACAGACACATTGGCTTTGACCTGCCCAGCGCCAAAGTACTGCTAAAAGCCTTGGCAGCTTTCCACGCAGCTCCCTTAGCTCTTAAGTTCAAGAAACCCGACGTGTTTAAGCAACTTAAGTATTATCTGGAAAACACTCGTCCTCCCATGCCACCTGGAGGACCGAAAGGCCCTGGAGAACCCGGAGGTCCTGGAGGTCCTGGAGGGCCTCCAAAAGGACCTCCTGGTGGTCCAAAATATCCTCCTGACAAGTTGGTTTTAGACCAAATGCTTAGCATTCCTCAATGTCAACCTTACTTGGCTAAAATCGAAGAAGTAAGGAATAGACCCAGTCTTTCGCCATTCGATCAGGGGCCTATTAGAGAACCATGGAGCACCATAGTGCATAGTGACTTTTGGGTGAATAATGTTATGCTGAAGAGGGATGAAGGCAAAGTTCAAGTGAAGATCGTTGACTTCCAAATGTGTTCTTATGGATCTTTTGCAAAAGATTTGGTGTTTTTCCTTCTATCTAGTGTGCAGGATAGTATCCAGCAAAACAATCTAGATGAACTACTCAGGTTGGTGCAATGGAAACCAGCTCCTTGCTATGGCTAATTAATAACATTTGCAGGTTCTACTATGAAGAATTAGTGGCAGTTTTAGACAAAGTGGGCGTGCCTGAGCTGAAGCTCACCTTTGAAGAATTCCTGGCGGAAGTGAAACTTGAAGCCAACAGTACAGAGGTGTTGCATGCACTGTTCTTCTCCACGATTGTGTTTGGCGAAAAAGGAACAGGGCCGGATCTGTTAATAGGTGAAGGTGACATGATGGAACATATGCATTTAATGGTAAAAAATATGAACGCACGCCAAAAAGAGAAGCTAGCAGTAATTTTTGAAGTGGCTGTATCCAAAGATTGGATCTAGACATATTTAATTAAGTAATTTAGATTAAATTATTGAATGTTGAGGACTTTATTTGGTCAGGCACTTGTAGGCAGGTACATGTTCC